AAAAAAAAAAAGAAAGAGGGAGGGAGGGAGATAGTGTCAGGGTCTCCTCCCCTGAAATGCAACCCATGGCACGCAGCCGGAGCTGGGGAGGAGGAGTGAGAGGGGCACAGAGAGGACCCTGTGGGGCTGGGAAACTATTATATCAGGTTATATCACGAGGGTGGGGCAGGGAGAGTCAGTTCGGGAAGAAGGCAGGAGGCTCCTCAGGGTTGGGGTAGGATGCTGTGCACATCAGCCCTGGGGTGCTGGCCCAGATGGCCCCCCCCGCATCCCTCCTCTGTGCAAATCAAAGCCCTTTCCACCACACAAGGCAGCTACGCGGATCGCGCTCGATGCAAAGCAGATTGTCATGACAATTCGCCAGGGGGCCACGCCGGCTCAGCCCAGTCCCGGGGCATTGCTGAAGCCGTCAGCCCTCACAGTGCTGGCGAGGAATGGGGCCTGGGTCAGAGACTGCATCTTTAGCTCCTGTCACCCCAAAACATCGCACCGATGCTTGACAGGAGGTGGCAGCCACGGACAGTCCTATGCACTAGCCCTTGGAGAGTAAGGGTGGGAATTCAGCGGTGACACACAGGGGGTATTTTAGATTCCTCCAATTTGTGTGTGCACGCGTGTGGTTTGTTGTGTTTTTTTTTTTTCCTTATGAAAAGCAAAAAAATATTCTTTAGAAAACCATATTTGCCCAAAGTGGATGTGCTAGTGCTCGTCGCTCTGCCAGCTGGCCGAGTCAGTAAGCGAAGCCCTCCGCGTAGGGAAGGCTGCCGCAGGGATCCATCTCCAGGAGGTACGCTGGGCTGTCCTCAAAGTGCGTCAGCGGCACTGTCTCCTCCTCGGGCACCGGGCAGTCGGACTCTGTCTTCAGGAAGGGGCGCTGGTTGTCGGGGTAGGCCATGGAAAAGAGGGCATCAGGGTCGCAGACGAACTTATAGACATACCGCTCGCCGGCCACCTGCAAGGAGGAGAAGGGCATGAGAGGTGCCCTGCACCTTCCCCCCCAGGGAA